CACGTACTGCAAATACAAATAATCGCCAACAGAACCTAAACACCTGACCTAACCTAACCTATGCCTATATATACACAATATGCTAATATATTATAATATTAATTTATACTTAAGAAAATTCCCGTTTTGAATGAACAGCATGTTAAAATTTATGAATGCGTCTGTGGGGTTGACCGCTGAATCAACCCGTCCTCGACTCAAGTCCATTACATCCAGAGGTCGACCCCACAGACGCATTCATAAATTTTAACATGCTGTTCATTCAGAACAAGAATTTTCTCAAATATAAATTAATATTATAATATATTAGCATATTGTGCATATATAGGCATAGGTTAGGTTAGGTGTTTAGGTTCGGTTGGCGATTATTTGCATTTGTAGTACGTGGGTGAAGCATTTATAGCGATGTGGTTCGAACAAAACTCGTCAGTGAAGCACTTGTTCCGGAAGTGTTCGAACGAAATCAGTTGTGAGTCGTGTGTAAACCGTTTTTCATTCATAAACAGGGGGTTTGACGGGTGCATGGAATCACTTTTGGATCTTTGTTTGGAGGACGGGCTGGCTGAATGTAATGGACTCGAGTCGAGGATGGGTTGGCACACGACTCACAACTGATTTCGTTCGAACTCTTTCGGAACAAGTGCTTTACTGACGAATTTTGTTCGAACCACAACGCTGTAAATGCTTCACCCCACGTACTACAAATAATCGCCAACAGAACCTAAATGCCTAACCTAACCTATGCCTATATATACACAATATGCTAATATATTATAATATTAATTTATACTTGAGAAAATTCCCGTTTTGAATGAACAGCATGTTAAAATTTATGAATGCGTCTGTGGGGTCGACCGCTGGATGTAATGTACTTGAGTCGAGGACGGGTTGCGCCCCCGCAGCTCAGACCATTAAGGTACTAGTTATGGAGAGTGCAGGTTGTGTTGTGACGTGTGACGGGAACGTCTCGGGTGTTACTGTGACTGGGGGTCCCTCGTCCCACTGGACGAGGGACCCCCAATACGTGGGTAAAGTCCCCGGGGGACAGTCTCGTCCCACTGGAGAAGGGACCCCCAGTACGTGGGTAAAGTCCCCGGGGGACAGTCTCGTCCCACTGGAGAAGGGACCCCCCAGTACGTGGGTAAAGTCCCAGGGGAACAGTCTCGTCTCACTAGACCAGGGACCCCCAGTACGTGGGTAAAGTCCCAAGGGGACAGTCCCGTCCCACTGTAGAAGGGACACAGCGCGCTCATCCACTGTGACAGGTAAGTTACACCTCCACCCTCAAGTGTCACCAGAGCTGCTTGTGTATAGATTACAATGAAGTCGTTCATGTGATAATTGTATAACATTTGTGGTGTATGACGACCGTAATGTATAATTGTCTTTGATGCCATTACAGGTAAGGGATAATAGCTCGTCCAGGGACACAACTCAGACAGTTTTAAGGTACGTTAATATTTCCTTGTTTTGGTAACAATGTTAGAGATGGAGCCAAGCCGGGGTGTGAGAGGTGGTGGTCACTACAGTTTACAATGGTCACTACAGCTTGGGCGATCTGTAGTGACCATTGTGGAGCTCTGTGCACGAGCAGGCTACACGCCCTACCATAACACCCTCTGTAATACTAGTGTGATAGATTCGTTTTGCTACAATAATGTTATTTAAACTAACCTCGTTGTTGCCATGTTATAATCGGTGATTTTCACAACGTAAGAAAAGTCGTAGTTGGAAACGGTTACTTCATGGATAAAGTAAGCAAATGTTGAAGGGAGAACCGTGAGTTGATGAGATCAGGAAACTTAATTCCGGGTTTGGTCATTAGGCTGTACCAGCGAGATTCACAACAGCAGTGGAGAACTCATCCTCTTGATTTGATAATAGAGTACTTTTTGTACTGTTTGGTCAAAAATACCAATAAGTAGTATTGCAGCTCTAGTGAATCACGTTTTGTACTACAGTATTTTTAGTCTGTGGAAAAAGTAAAGCTAAAATCAAACTTAAATTTTCCTAGACCTAGTAAAGCACATATGTCTCACATTAGGCCTAAGATAGCGTGTATTAGGCTTAGGATTGCTTGGTCTGGTCTCGTATTTGTTCCTAATAACAAGCTCCCGACTCGTCCGAATTCAATAATACGAAAGTCAACTTTCTGGTGGTCTATCACAACATTCTGCTACTTTCGACCAAGTAGTTACTATGAGTACTTAATCTCAAGAGTAGAGAGGAAACGTCAGAGAAAGAGGGTTAGACTTTAGATTAGAACATGTGATAGAGGCCAGACAGAGGCCTAGAACTCTCAGCAGGAGACTAGAAGCGAATAATCAGAATATACTAAGAGGACGATAGTCGTGTTTTAAAGAGACAGTATCTATACAGCCTAGGACAAAGCTGTACCCACCTTTTGTTAACGTGTGCCCAAATTAGCGAGAGTCGTCTATAGAGTTCTCTTTCCTTACATGGAAAACAAAAGGCATGAACACCTTAAAACGGAAAATAAACATTTTATTCTCGGTGAACCATTTGGTACTGCATCAACGGTTGGCATGTTTTGTGTTAGGCTTGTATTTCATAGTTTTGAGAACTACACCAGTTTCATCAGTGTCTACTCCTGTAATTACTGTTAGCGTAGTTCATCACTAACAGTAATAACTCGCATGAGTATGTCGATGAAAATGCTATTATACTGTTATTGGACGAGTTTTCAAACGTTCAAAAGTTTGGGGAATGAAATTTCATTATTTCCAAATCTCGTTTTCTGTAATATTTTCAATTAATCCAGTCAATTCCTGATCTCTTTCAATATTTTCTTGTTTGGCTCTTAAATCGATAAGCGTTTGCGTAAAAATTGACATGCTTGAGACTTAATACTTGCCTATTCAAATCGATCTACTGCAACATGTCCAAATTCAGTTTATCTTGTTACACTCTGCTTACTCTAGGATATTTGAAGTTTAAATGATCTGAACTTAATAAATATTAAAACAAAACCAAAAAAAAAATCGGTAATTGAAGCAACGCTGCTCGAAAATTTCAAGATTTGTTTTGGGAACTATTTTAAAGTGGCATTAAGACCACCACTTGAACACACTCGGGTTGATGACCAAACTACACATTACAAGACGGAGAAGCGACGACGTGTCGGTTCGTTCTGGACCATTATCATGCATCAGGACACGCACATCATGCCAGCAGGCGGGGCGGGGACACCAAACTAGGCTGCTACTATAACACCATCTCTATTTCACATTTAATCAACTTTTCCTTCACCAGACGGTCTTACTTCATGCAGGTCAACGTTTAATCCCCGACCGTCCAAATGGTTGGGCACCATTCCTTTCCCTGTAACGGGGGGTGGGGGAAATAGCTCTATCTTGTCCATTATTCCACCCCCCAGTTAACTAACGAGGCCGGGGGAAACAGCTCTCTCTAGTCCGTTATCCCGTCCCCAGTTAGCTAACTATTCTAGAGCACCTCCAGAGTTCCTAAGGCAGCCTCTCTCGTTCAACACCTTGTAACCTAGGTATTTGACTACCTAGGTGCTAAGACTACAAGGCGCCATCACTTGATCAGTTACCCGAAACTCCAGAGAGAACTCTAGAATACAGAATCACTGCCACAAACGTATAAGAGAAAACGAGAGGAAAGAAATGAATAGTGAAGTAATTAGTGAGGGTTTGGGGTGAGAGGGAGAGAGGTGGGAGGAGCGAGGAGGATCATTAGTTGAAAGTGAGAGTTTAGAGAAGGGTGGAGGGAGAGGTGTAGATAGGTAGAAGTAGATAGTAGACCCCGTCCCATCCCAAATCCTTATCCTGACCCCTTCCAAGTCCTATGGAGTGGTAATGGCTTGGCGCTTCCTCCTCACTTCCTCCTCCCCACAAACAAAATTGGGTGGGGGGGGGGGGTTGCTTGTAGTTGGGACATTTGGAGATTCTCGGATTTAATTCTCGTACCAAGAGGAAGAATGAAGGGGGGGGGGGGTTGCTAGCTGCCACCTTTTGCTTTTATAATTTTCATGCTTGTCCCTGAGGCTTGTGAGCAGCCCGTCCTCCTAAGGTGCCCCCAACGTCAAGAAACTGTCGTACTAAAGTGCCCGTATCCTAACCTACCAGAGAACCCAAAACAGAAAACGGGACAGTATGTCAGTTTCGCGAGCCGCTACCATTTTCTAGTACAATTTTTTGACGTTTGGTACGTCAAAATGCGACGTTCTATTAGGAGGATGGGGTTGAAAAAAATACGTGATGGTTATATTTCCTGGTGGGTGGTGTTGGGGCGGGCTCGGTGTTGCCATTAGAATGTTACCCATTTGTCTTGTCTAGATGGGTTAGTATAGATAAAAAGGCATTTTCCCACCAGTTAGACTGGACTGATAACCGTGTTATCAATACACGTTCCTCAGAGGAATCGACCGGGTAAACAAGGATGAACTATTCAACACTGGTGGGACGCGAACAAGGGGACACAGGTGGAAACTGAGTACCCACATGAGCCACAGAGACGTTAGAAGGAACTTTTTCAGTGTCAGAGTAGTTAACGGATGGAATGCATTAGGCAGTGATGTGGTGAAGGCTGACTCCATACACAGTTTCAAATGTAGATGTGATAGAGCCCAGTAGGCTCGGGAATCTGTACGTCAGTTGATTGACAGTTGAGGCGCGACCAAAGAGCCAAAGCTCAACCCCCCGCAAGCACAAATAGGTGAGTACGTGTGACTCTGGCAATACACAGCTATGAACAGAGCTCTTCATTAAGGCCGTCCTCAGTGTCCTAAGCAACAGGATCATCACCACTATGCACACGCCAGCATCGTCATATCATCAGTCAGTCTATGGTATGCGCACGTCAACGTCGTCAGCGCATGTCAGCGTCGTCAACGTCGTCAGCGCATGTCAGCACGTCAGCGTCGCAGCATCGAATCATCAGCCAGTCTACGATATGCGCGTCACACTCGTGTAATGACCATTACCGTATAACATTTAGAAATAGCCGTTATTTACTTGTGCTTTTCTGGTAATAGCTTGACTTGCAAGGCTGTTGTTGCTTGCAGCGGACGGCCCACATACACCAGTTGCAGACTGGCTGATCCGGCACTTACTGCGGAAGCTTGTCCAACTCCCTCTTGAAGATTCCCGCCGTTGTCCAGGCAATATTTCTGTACTGATGGCGATACGACCATCAGCGTACCACGTGAACTCTGATTCACGATATAGCTATCAAATTTACAACATGATATACGCTATGGTCCAACAGTTTGAGATTCCCATCTACTGGCGAGATGCAACCAGGGGGATTTAGTGTGACCTTGACCCACACAGCCTTGACCACACACTAACCCAGAGTCACGCTTCATATATAATTTCCGGCCACCGGCGCTCCGGCAGTCCGACCGCACAACCGCTACCTGGAAAAGCAGCGGCGCGGGAAACAAGAGGTAACATCCACTCTACCCTCCCACAGGAGGCGGGGAAAACTCCTATCACTTGACACGGTACAACCATCAATGTACAATAACACAGTTTAGCCAACCCACCATAAAATATCACTTTAAAAGGGTGTAGATTGGACACGAAACTGATAGCAGTGTGTTTAATGAAGGTATAGACTCCTACAGAGATGTGAGATCGGTGGCTGTTTATCTGTTTGTGTCACTTCCGTCCACCCGAGGTCCTGGGCCCGGTTTTGCCACACTAGGGGGGGGGAGGGAGGGGGGCCCATAACTTGTGGGTGAAGGGACCCTCTCAAGGTTTAGAGGCATGTTTGGAGAGATGTGTGCACGCGCGCGCGGGGAAGTGCACATCCAGCCAGCATTAGTGTGTGTACACCGAGTTGTTAGTAAATGGAATGCACTAGGAAGTGATGTGGTGGAACCTCCCATATATAGTTTCAAATGTAGATATGATGGAGCTCGAGAAGATGATTGACGGTTGAGAGGCGGGACCAAAGAGCCAGAGCCCAACCCCCACAAGCACAACTAGGCAAGTAGTGTCAGGCCCCTATGTGGTGGTTCCTCAGTTCACCTCAGGACTTTTGTCAAGTTTAAATTTGAACTGTAGAATTCAATTTTCATTGACGACTTCTTAGGCTATCGATGGAGTTTTTTTTTTAATTATCCTCTGGGTGGAAAAAGTTTTTGACCCTGCGTTAAATTGGTCTGGATTAATATCTTCCAGGGGGAAGATTTTTAATGTCTCGATGATGTTAGTCCTGTGTTTAATTTGTAATTTTGTTAGTTCTGAGGCTCTCAATGTTTGCTGGTATGAGTTTTGTCGATTGAAACAAGAATTGACCCGAGGTGCGTGTTTATTGGACAGCGCCACTCATCCTGTGAGTGGACACACCGCCATAGTGACAGTATTGGGCAGCGCCACTCATCCTGTGAGTGGACACACCGCCATAGTGACAGTATTGGGCAGCGCCACTCATCCTGTGAGTGGACACACCGCCATAGTGACAGTATTGGGCAGCGCCACTCATCCTGTGAGTGGACACACCGCCATAGTGACAGTATTGGGCAGCGCCACTCATCCTGTGAGTGGACACACCGCCATAGTGACAGTATTGGGCAGCGTCACTCATCCTGTGAGTGGACACACCGCCATAGTGACAGTATTGGGCAGCGCCACTCATCCTGTGAGTGGACACACCGCCATAGTGACAGTATTGGGCAGCGTCACCCATCCTGTGAGTGGACATACCGCCATAGTGACAGTATTGGGCAGCGCCACTCATCCTGTGAGTGGACACACCGCCATAGTGACAGTATTGGGCAGCGTCACTCATCCTGTGAGTGGACACACCGCCATAGTGACAGTATTGGGTAGCGCCACTCATCCTGTGAGTGGACACACCGCCATAGTGACAGTATTGGGCAGCGTCACTCATCCTGTGAGTGGACACACCGCCATAGTGACAGTATTGGGCAGCGCCACTCATCCTGTGAGTGGACACACCGCCATAGTGACAGTATTGGGTAGCGCCACTCATCCTGTGAGTGGACACACCGCCATAGTGACAGTATTGAGCAGCGCCACTCATCCTGAGTGGACACACCGCCATAGTGACAGTATTGGGCAGCGCCACTCATCCTGTGAGTGGACACACGCCATAGTGACAGTATTGGGCAGCGTCACTCATCCTGTGAGTGGACACACCGCCATAGTGACAGTATTGGGTAGCGCCACTCATCCTGTGAGTGGACACACCGCCATAGTGACAGTATTGGGCAGCGCCACTCATCCTGTGAGTGAACACACCGCCATAGTGACAGTATTGGGCAGCGCCACTCATCCTGTGAGTGGACACACCGCCATAGTGACAGTATTGGGCAGCGTCACTCATCCTGTGAGTGGACACACCACCATAGTGACAGTATTGGGCAGCGTCACTCATCCTGTGAGTGGACACACCGCCATAGTGACAGTATTGGGCAGCGTCACTCATCCTGTGAGTGGACACACCGCCATAGTGACAGTATTGGGCAACGCCACTTATCCTGTGAGTGAACACACCGCCATAGTGACAGTATTGGGCAGCGTCACTCATCCTGTGAGTGGACACACCGCCATAGTGACAGTATTGGGTAGCGCCACTCATCCTGTGAGTGGACACACCGCCATAGTGACAGTATTGGGTAGCGCCACTCATCCTGTGAGTGGACACACCGCCATAGTGACAGTATTGGGTAGCGCCACTCATCCTGTGAGTGGACACACCGCCATAGTGACAGTACTGGGTAGCGTCACTCGTCCTGTGAGTGGACACACCGCCATAGTGACAGTATTGAGCAGCGCCACTCATCCTGTGAGTGGACACACCGCCATAGTGACAGTACTGGGTAGCGTCACTCGTCCTGTGAGTGGACACACCGCCATAGTGACAGTATTGAGCAGCGCCACTCATCCTGTGAGTGGACACACCGCCATAGTGACAGTATTGGGCAGCGCCACTCATCCTGTGAGTGGACACACCGCCATAGTGACAGTATTGAGCAGCGCCACTCATCCTGTGAGTGGACACACCGCCATAGTGACAGTATTGGGCAGCGCCACTCATCCTGTGAGTAACCATACCGCCAATGACACTACTGTCACTGACAATACTGTCACTATTCACTGTGACTCTTCGCCAATATTCTTGTCAGTCATCATTGTGAATGAAGTACTTGTACCATTCATGTTGCGGACAAGTAGGTTAGAGACTATACTTGGAGTATCCAGTATGCAGGTTCGAATCCTCATCAGGGCTTCTACTCATTTTCTCGTTGATAAATGACGTTAATAGATTACATTGTGCACGCCCCATGAAGTCGCCTTTACTCCCGCAAAGTTTAGTGCCGCTGGCCCTAAGCGTTTGGCCTTCTGTTATATTTCTAACACAAAACACCTGGATACACCATTCCCCCCCCCCCCTGGCTATGTTGTGACTATTGCTTCTGGTACACCCTGTACTGGCAGCGGTACACCCTGTACTTTTTTTTTTTTTTTTTATCTTTATTTAAAAAAATACAATATAAGTTACATATACATAAGTGTTACAAGGCAATTATACATTACAATTCTTAGTGAACAAGTGTTTCAGTAGTACAGAACAAGATCTTTTAGAAAACCCCTATAAACGAGTTACAAAAATTGAAGAATAAACTTACATTAAAATACAGGGGAAAATATTACATTTATATATATTTTATATAAGCCTCAGTAAACCAATTTTCTATATCATCACCGAGCATGAGCCTTAAACCCCAAATGTTATACCTGATCCTGCCTCGCAAGAACTTCAATATTTTGTCTACTGAGTAACCTTCCTGCCTGCCTATCCACACACAACAAATGTAATCAGAAAGTAACGTAATTATTGTATTCCTAATTTTCTTGCATTTTATGTCAATATGAAACATTAAAAACCTCATTAACTCCACTCTAATACTTGGTCCACATAAAGCTTTAAGAGTGTCTCTAATCCAGTTTACAAGAACAACTTTCTGCTTACAGAAATAAAATATATGCATATTATTCTCAATTTCAGTACATTGGTCACACCTATTGTTGTCCTTAATGCCCAACATCAACAACCTATCATTAGTAGGGAGGGTCTCATGAATATAGCGATACAACAGCTCACGTTGTTTTGGGGCAAATAATTTAACATGAAGGTTTGCCCATATTACTTGCCAGCTAAAGAGTGGATATGCCTCCTCTACTCTAGGAACTATATTTGGTAGTATAACATCATACACTTGTTTACTGTTCATCATTAAAAAACCTTCAATATTACAAATCCGCCTGAGAACATCAATTGCACATGAATAAAAGTGCGGTGAAATAAAGGCAAGGTCAGTATACTCTGGCATATGTATCAAATAGCTAACACGTAATTTACAATAGTAATGTCCCAGTGCATTTACACTATCCCTCTGCATTATCTCCTTTCTAAAAGTAACACATAAGATTGCCAATGACTTATGGTACACATTCAGTATTCCTATTCCACCGTTTTTCTTACCTTTACATAGGGTAGTTCGTTTAATTGGTTGGTATCTACCATACCATACATATCTAAAAATAGTTTTGTTAATCACTATAGCACTTTTCTTGTCTATGGGAAAGCTGTGAGACAAATACCACACTTTAGACAAAATTTTGCAATTGATTATTACAGCCTTCTGAAACAGGGTCAATTTCCTATTTGACAACATATTCGTTGCAACTATTATATTCCCACATAGTACTTGCCAATTCGTAACCAATGTTGTTTCATATGTTTTACACCAGCAAATCCCAAGAGCTTTAATAGACTCCACTACCTTGAACCATGAACCTGTCCAGTTAACCTTATTACACCAACTGCTAAGACCCATCATACACGTTTTGTTCTTGTTAATAACAGCACCTGTCGCTCGTTCAAAGTTGTCTAACTCATTCTGAACATTCACCACCGAGTCTTCTGTCGACACAAAAATAGTTGTATCGTCTGCATAACCAATAACAGGAAGTGTCATAGCATTAGGAAGACGAGGTGGAACAATAAAGTCATTGCTTTTTATTGCCAAGTACAGTGGCTCTTGAAATATAACATACAAAATCATTGAAAGGGAACATCCCTGACGTACAGATCTTTCAACTGAAAAAGGTTTACTTAAGACTCCATTGATACAGACGCTGCTCCGACACTCTTTATAAAGCATACGGATCCAATCAATAAATTCTCGTGCCACTCCTACCCTATCCAATATTGCTAATACAAACTGAACATCAACACGGTCAAAGGCTTTCGACCAGTCGAGGTTTATCATGGAGGAAGGAACATTATTCTCAGACACATAATACACAACATCCCTAATTACATTATTACAATTGATTATAGATCTTCCAGGCACACCACAAAACTGTTCCTTTGATATAAGTTTATCCATTGCAATCCTAAGTCTATTTGCCAACAGTTTCGATATTATTTTATAATCCTGGTTTAGTAGGGAAAGTGGCCGCTATCATACCTTACTGAAGAGGGTGGAGTTGCTCTCTGCACAGACATTTCTACATCACTATCCTCCATTGTGTCATCCTCTACATCCAGTTGACAACCAATTACTTGTTCCATCGTCACCTCACCAAGGTCAGCACCACCGCCAGCCTCGCAGCTCTTCGCAGCGTCAGCACCAATGTTATGGGCGTCCACATGTATAGTGTCCAGACTTACCTCACCCTCGCCAGGGTTACCAACAGCCGGTAAAGCGTCCTGAGCAGTGTCACCTGCACCCTCCTTGTCTGCATTACCTTCATCGTCCTGATCTAAGTTACCTTCACCGGCCTCATTCGCACTGGGAGTCACTTCCACAGACGTTTCACTTACAGAGTTGTGGGTTACTTCATCTACCTCACCTGGAACTACAGTATTTACAGCAGCGGGTTCATTTCCTGATACACTATCCTCTATTAATGGCGGAAAGTCATGTTCATGAAAAATGTTGATCCGTTCTGATGCCTCCACCTGGCAGGCAGCAGCCATGTGACCAGTACGCCAACACTTAAAACAAGTTTGCATTTGGCCATTGTATATAAACTTAGGAGTCTCGTCGTGGACGTGGTGGCGAGCAGACGTGCTTTGCTTCGCTCTGCTACTGGCGTCTGGTGGGTGGACGTGTTTGTCGTCGCTGTTGGCCGGCGTGTTGACGGATGGGCGGATAACGTCACGCTGGGGGTGGTATATGTGCCATCATGGGCTCCTACACACCTCCACTAAAGCGCCCTGTACTGGCAGCAAGCAGTAGCAGCATCTCCAAGACAGGAAGTGTTCCACATTACCTGTCATCAAGAGACGGGAAGTTTGTGACGCCGCCCACTAGCACACGGCATGCCGCCTTGCGCTGCGTCATGTCTCCTGCTGGACACCTATAGTGACCCCTGGGTGAACAGCAGCACCAGCAACAGCCACGAAAACAGTAACAGCGAGTCAAGCGGACATATATCACCCCAAATATTCGTTGCCTCTTGACCCTTCTCTCTCACACGCGCCTGTCATCCCTCTTCCTCTTAATGTGTTTGTTTCGCGCGCCTTCCTCCTCCTCCTCCTCCTCCTCCTTCCTTCCTCATCGCTTATTCCTCTGCCCTCTCCTTCATGGCCCCCGCCCGCCCTCCTACACCCACATCCTCCTATTGTTCTATTACGTTGCTGAATGTTCCTAGCTCTTCCTTCTTTCTTGTCCTTAACACTTCCTAGACCTCCTCCTCCTCCTCCTCCTCCTCCTCCTCCTAGCTCACTTGCTGGTCATCATTCAGCACGACACGCCTCCTGCCTCTCTTCCTTCATTTTCCTAGCTCCTTCCTTCCCACGAAGGAAAGAGCTGGTTGGAAGCTCCTATCCCGTCCTCTAACCTGTCCCCCCAGAACCTAACCCCCACCACTCTGTCTGCCCCCCCTCCCCCCCCACTAACCCCCCTCCCCCACTAACAACCACCCTCTACCCCCCTCCACTAACAATCCCCTCCCCCACTAACAACCACCCTCTACCCCCCTCCACTAACAACCCCCTCCCCCACTAACCCCCCCTCCCCCAACCTTCCAGGCCCTACGGGCCCCGCTATAAAGACTCACAGGAACTCCTTCAAGGACTCCTTGAAGGAACTTTGGGGACGCCTTGAATATTACCTCACTCCGTGCGTGCGTGCATGCGTGTTCACCAATTATACTCGCCCAGATGCCTATTATGGGGTTGGGTGTCAACTCCTAAGCCCCACCTTTCAAATTGTTAAGTTAAATGCCCTTTATTCTTTGATTTTGTCTTTACATTTAAAGCTATGTATTAAAACTTGTCAGATTAATTTGTCTCTTACATCCATGTTCCTTAATTCTGATGTTATTCACTTTGATTACCATAGTATCTTTCATGTCGATGTCATGTCCCTATATTCCTCATTGCCTTCGGTGTGGTGAAGTCTAAATTCCTCAGTCCCTTGGCTTAGGAAAGAACCGGGCTGCACATCTTTTGATCTCTTTAATTTTGTTTTGTGTTTTTTAGGTGGAGGGGGGTCCATGCCGGGGCTGCATATTCTAATGAGTCTCACGTAGGTTGTACATAGGCTCCTCTGTCTAAATTTTTGAAGGCAGTACGGTCATCATAGGCATTATACATCATTCCGAGTGTGTACTCACCTACTTGTACTCGTCTATTTCTTCCCCACAGGATCGAGCATTAGCTCTTGAACCCCGCCTCTCTAGTCGCCGGTCAGGGGTCACTACTATAGTGACCCCTGACCTATTTCCCTCTCATGTCTGCTTAGACAATTGTGAATATTTGCTTCAACAACCTGGCCCATTAGTTCATTCCATTTTCACACAGCCTAGTGGATCCTAGTGGACCAAACTGGTCCTAGTGGACCAGCCTTCTTTTTGGTCCACAGCCTAGTGGACCAAACTCTCAAAAGTCAAGTCTGGCCTCGGCCGGGCTTGGGGAGTAGAACTACTACCAGAACCCCATCAAGCAGGTTTTACGCGATCTTGATGTTATCTTGAGATGATTTCGGGGCTTTAGTGTCCCCGCGGCCCGGTCCTCGACCAGGCCTCCAACCCCCCCAGAAGCAGCCCGTGACAGCTGACTAACACCCAGGTACCTATTTTACTGCTAGGTAACAGGGGCATAGGGTGAAAGAAACTCTGCCCATTGTTTCTCGCCGGCGCCCGGGATCGAACCCGGGACCACAGGATCACAAGTTCAGCGTGCTGTCCGCTCGGCCGACCGGCTCCTTGCTAAAAAAAAACTTTCTAACATCTGACTCATCTGCCTCACTTGAGTCTCAAGCGTTCATCCATGTCCTTGTTTTCTATGGGTATTCATTGTGGACATTTCCTATATTTCCATTCTATCAATCCCCCTTTATATATTTTATAAAGGAAATATAGCAATCCCCTTTTTGATATATTTTATATAGCACTTATAAAAGTACTACTTTGAGCATTTTGTTCCGAGAAGCTGAATGTAAAACAAGTAGTAGTAGTCCAGGGAATTGTTTGTGAGTGGGCGTGCGTGTGGGTGCGCATGAGCGTGTTCATTAGGGAGGGAGGGAGGCAGTGTTGACCGTGTACCCAGGAAGTGACAGTGTGGGGCTGGCCGTCGGGAGCCCTGGGAGTGTGATGCACCACACTAGACACCAGAGTGAGCTGTATCGTAGCACATTCAAGGACGTAGCGAGAAGTTTGCTCATGTTGTCTTACACCTCGTGCCTCTGTTCACCCCCCCCCCTACTCGTAAACACGTTCCTGGGAGTGAATCAAGACACTTGAGCATCTTAGAGGTTAAGTAGCCTCTCGTCCCCAAACCCCCGAGCAACACTCGCTGGACCTCGGTAAACCTCGTAGGTTTCCTGTCTCCTCCTACGGGGGAAACTATTTTCAGGAGCAGACGAGGAGTCACAACGTGGCTGAAATATGTTGACCAAACCACACACTAGAAAGTGAAGGGACGACGACGTTTCGGTCCGTCCTGGACCATTCTCAAGTAGATTGTATTTACAGTAGCTGGTCTGTGGGTAGGGCAGCTCATAGGACGTCAGGTACCGTGGGAGTGGATAGTTCTGAGGAGGATTTGGCTGTATGGGAACTCTGGCTCGAGTTCCCCTAGAGTGTCATGTGATAGTATCAAACCACGAAGGAAGGATTGAGACATCCTTCCGTAGATGTAATATTTAACACGAAATTACTTGAGGAAATTCCAGACTTCAATACGGGTGGTTACCTTGAGGTGCATCCGGGGCTTAGCGTTCCCGCGGCCCGGTCCTCGGCCAGGCCTCTTGGTGACTAGGACCAGGGTGAAGTTAACACACTTCATACCAAGCAGGCTCAACATGACTTACATTAGAACGCATTTTTTTGACTAGACAGGGCAAGGGAGTACCACGTTGCTCAGGTATTAATCTTTGAAATAGTGTCACCTGATATGCAATATGATGTATAGCTCCTATAGGCCTAGGAAATAGTAATTCATTGCCTGTAGTCTTAACACGACACTGAAATACCTCCTGCTTGGGGGGGGGAGGGAGGGAGGGGTTCGATACCTTAAGGAGCATTGATGGTGTGCGGACACTGCATGAGGGAGAAGAATAAGAGGTGCTGAGAAATGAAGACATTGTACAGGCCGAGGTGGAGGACAAAAGGCATAGTTCCAGCAAGAGTAGGGAGAGCTATGTAGCAGTAAATGCTCAAATATATTGTACTCAAGAATTAGAGATAAGATTGAGGAAAACGCTGAAGGATATAGAGGATGCTAAAGTGATTCGTGAGAAGACAAATGAAAAAGGTATTAAAGAAACTCCAGAGCTAGAGAAGTAGCGAGAGAAGATAGTGAAACGAGAGAGGTATTGAGAAACGGACGAGAAAAGGAAGAAAGAGTTGATATATAGGAGTACCTATTGGAATGTCCAATTAGCAGGAAAAAGTGATAAATATAAGAGAACTCGTTGGGAGAAGGAATGGGGAAAACAACAAGTCAGAAAGGCAGTCATTAATGACAAACACTGCCAGGTGACGTGAACAAGTTAGAGGACACGAACCCTGAAAATTAGGAAACCTAGGCTCTAAAAGCTAAACAAAAAATAAGGAAAGAACTATAGATGTTGGTAAACAAATAGGCAACCCACAAAACACGAAAGGGCAGACAGTGACAAAAATCCTAGAGAGAACACGTTGATTATTTTGCGCCTACTTGGGACAACAGTGGGAAACCAAAAGTCGAATGCTCACATTAGATGATGATTAGCCATACACATCCTTGATCTATTATCCATACACGAGGCTGAGAGGGACTTGATGCGAGTGCATGAACTAGGACCGTATGCAACAGCGGCGAAGACCACGAACCCTGGTATTTATAAAGGTGGCATCAATAATCTTGAAGGCATGCAAAGGGATCTTGAGCTATATAGAAGGCTATAAAAGTGTATACCTTGAAAATAGCAAGAGGAAAGAGAGCGAGAGGGGGGATTTGGAGGTGGGTAGGAAGAGGAAAGATGGCAGCATAGGGCTGGACCGCTAACCACTTCCCAGCATCCTCAGAATCATTATATTATATACTGTATCATTATACAGTAGGTGAACATGAGACTTAAC